GATGATCAGCTCTGCTTGCCCGCCTCCTGGCTTGAGCTCTGTTGGGCTTCCATGCCTTGGAGAGGGAGGTGGGCAGATCGGGCTCCAGGGCTGGCAAAACACCCCTCATCTGAGGACCTGACTGGCACCCAGCTGAGTTTCCCTGGTCAGACTTGGCTCTGCAGCAGAGCAAAGCTGCTGGACGGGATTACTACCTGGGTGCTGCAGGCAGGGACTTGGTCTGTCACGCTCTTGAGTGTGGGTTGTTGCAGACCCTCCCTGTTTCCCCCCATCACGTCCGATTCCCAGTGGTTGAGCCCTGCAGATTCCCTTGCAGTCCTGGTGGGACAATATGGGTGTAGTGGCTCTTACAAAGCAACTCACATTGCTGGGGCGGGGGCAGGGGGCCCTGATGTCGCCCATGAGCTTGCTGTTTCCATTGGTGGAGCTGTGCCGGCCTGCAGGCAGCCGCTCCCCTCACCCTGCCGATGTGTCTGTCGCCCCCTCTGGGGTGCGTGTGTTGGGGGCTGCCTCGGCCTCACCCTGTGTTGTAGAATGCTCTCGGGTGCCTTGTTAGTCGCTGTGCTTCTAAGGGCAGAGCAGTCAGGAATGACCTGCATTCCCACCTTGCTGATACTGCTGAGTTTAACTTTGGAAATGTGTGATTTCTATAAAAAACGTCCAATCCTTCTCATAATTAAGTGTGATAAATTGACTGGAAGCAGAGCCAAGGAGTCCGGGCCAGCCACATCATCTAATCAAACATCTCGAATTGTGAGGGTCCCTTTGCTAAAGAGGAGGTGCCTGGGCTATGGGGGTTGAGATCTTGGAGAGTCTGACAGGCATGTTCAGCTCGTCATGGGCACCTCCCCCCCCCCCCCCCCACCCCCCGTCTTCAGAGTGTGCCGGAGTTTTCACTTAGCCACACCGCTCTCTTATTCTGAATTAAATTACCCATCTAACAATATTTAAATTAACCTTGAGGCTTCCTGGAGAACATAAAAGTTATTTTGAATTATTTTCACTGCCAGGATCAGCACAATTCCCTTCCCAGCCAGCTTGGTAGGTATTCAGTGATTGAGAAACCAATTTTTAAATTAATACAATTTTGTGTTTGCAAGGAAGCCATTATTTTTAATTATCGGGCATTTTCCTCAGCCTGGCTTCCCCAGTTAATAAAACTCAGCTACTTAGCATGGTTTTTATTTTTGCAGAGGGCAGACTTTGGGAAGTAGTTTCCCCATGTGGAATCTCCCTCCAGACTGTTTTGATCTCACCAAGCACACGCCTGTCACAAGGAGGCTCGTAAAAAACCCCGAGAAAAGGAAACGCTGTCGTCAAAAGGGCCCTGCTGGGCCCATAACCGATGACTCTAACTTAGCCTGAGGGGCAGTGGTGAATCGAGAAACTGCAAAGAAGAAATTAACACTGCGCTGGGTCCCCTCCCGGAAGTGGCACTGAAGCACAGGAGGAGAGACCTCAGTTAGAGCAGAGCCCTTGCCTCTTCTGCTTTGAGTCTGGGAAACCCTGAAAAGATTCATGAGGGGAGGAGGGGGAGAGAGTCTCCTTGTCTGGCAGCGTTGAAAAGCAGAACTCCCCGCGTGGAGAGCTGAGCTGTTCACCCACCCAGAGGAGAAGCCTGGCCTGGATGACATCTTCATTTCCTTTCTGGGTCAGTCCTTTAGGATTTAAAAAGCAGCTTTCCCCAACTCCCATACAACATGACTCCGTGCTACGTTGGGATCAGGGTTGGAGCAGACAGAACAACTTGCTGTCAATTTAATATTAGCTTAAATAATGCATAATTAGAAGGTTAAGCCTCTGCAAACACGTTAAATAATGTATTCCCCAAGCAAACATGATTTGGTGATGATGTGCTGTTTTGGATGGTGGTGAGGTGGAAAGGTGGAAGAGACCTGGATCTGAGTTGCATTGTTGATATGGATTGGTTTTGTCATTACAAAGTAGAACCTTCCCTGGTCATGCCTTGGTTTCCTTATCTGTGATGGCCTGTGAACTTCTGGTGGGTAGAGGCTTTATCTTAAGTTTCTCAGGGTCTCTATTATTTTGGAAAGTGCTTGGTGCTTGACAAGCATTTGTGAGTAAGGGGGCTGAATTAGACTGAGTATAAGCAAGTTAGATCTAAGGCTCTAACGTGAAAAACTGAAACAAGAAAATGTGAGCAGGACATTTGTGACCTCCAAATATCTGAAAGGCTGTCTTCATTCTAAACAGTGATAAGTCATTCTGGGAGGAACCCTTGAGTCCTGGAATGAACACAGATTGCAGGGGGCGGATTTTTATGACGTCAATTTAAAATCACATCCACTCATTCAGCATTTACTGAGCACCTACTATGTATGCTTGTTGATGTGATCAATACTTAGAGCAGGACAGTTAAGGCCCCTGCCCTCGTGAACTTACAGGTCAGAGGAGGATAAAGACGCACAAAGCAACAGTGGAAAACCTTTGTGTCATCATGAGAGTAGACAGAGAAAGGCCCTATGGAATGGAGAGGCGGCCGAGTCAGAGCTGAGCCGACAGGGACAGCTGCCCAGAGCGCTGCCTCGGGGGTGGGGTCGGGGTCCCAAAGTATGGGAGTTCAACAGGTGAGGGCAGGAGGTGGGTTAGGGAGAATATTTCCAGATGGGGTGGTCAGGAAGTGAAAACTTGGGTGGTTAGCAGGGGCCCTGCCCAGGCGTCAGAGAACTTCACTTCTGATGCTTCGGGCATCCTAGTGGAGGCAGGTGGTCCCTGGGGAGGCATGTGGCAGAGAGGAGAGGTGCCTGATGTGGAGGCTCAGCCTAGATGACCTGAATGGGGCTTGTGCCTGTCATCCTTCGACCTGAACTTCTGGACGTCAAGCACGTTGTACGTGTCTCTAGCCTCTAAGAAGAAAGGGAGACCGTGCAGCCAATGCATGAATGCTCCTTTGCTTTCAACAGTGGGTACGTCTGGTGAGGATGTCTATATTTCTATAGTCACTAAGTCCTGTCCAACTCTTCTGTGACCCCCATTGACTGTAGTCCACCAGGCTTCTCTGTCCATGGGATTTCCCAGTCCAGAATACTGAAGCGGGTTGCCATTTCCTCCTCCAGGGGATCTTTCTGACCCAGGGATCAAACCCGCATCTCCTGATTGGCAGGTGACTTCTTTACCAATGAGCCACCTGAGAAGCCCTTCTAAGATCCTTACCAGCACAATAAGGTCCCCATCCTTTGACCTCTCCTCCCCCAGCTAATTTGCTCCAGCCCTTCTGCCTCATCTTCTGCTCAGATGACAAGCAACAGTCTTTTCCACCTTGGGGCCTTTGGACGTGCTGGCAGCTTAGCACAGAAGGCTTTTTTCCCATTTCATTACTGGAAAATTCCTACTCGTCATTCATTTCTTAGCCCAAATGCCATTTTCTTAGTGTGGCCTTAACCTCAATCAGATATGCCCTGTTATCTGAACCATGTTCCCTCATGCATCCATCATCATTTCTTTACATTATTTGTAGTTACTTTGATTACTGTCTGTTTCCCCTTGCTACAGTATAAGCTCCACGAGGGTATTTTTACTTTTCTATCACACCAATCAAAATAGCAAGTAATCCAAAAGTAATGTTTGTTTGGGGGATATAATGTTGAATATATTTGCAGAGGCTTACCCTTCTAATTATATATTATTTTAGCTACTGTTAAATTTGTAGCAAGTTCTGTCTGTACCAGCTCTGCTCAGAATTGAGTGTCTTGTCTGTTCACTAATATATACTCAGTGCCTAATACAGTGCCAGGAACATAATAGGTGCTTGGGAGAAAAAAAAAACAAACACATTGGTTGGTGCAAAGTGAATGCAGTAGGGCAGGAAAGGCTGATAAAATTCAGGCTTTTGTGGTGACAGTGTAGGTTAGCAGACCTGAGTGGGATGCGTGTGGAACTGAGGTCACGTGTGTGTGCTCACAGGCACACGTGCACATCTGCCTCCCACCTTGTTCCCGTGTCACCGTCATTTGCCACAAAAGTAAAAGTAACACAAGCCAACGTGTAATTGCAATGTCATACTAATTATACAGAAACCAAAACAAAATCACTAACTCCCACTCCTTCTGGGAATACTAATAACACTAATACCAATATCATGATGGAAGATTATCTTGGCAGCAATTTTCCTTTTGTTCTGCTACCTACACATGTAGCTGTTTCGTGCTTTTGCAATCTCTGTGTAAATCATAATCAGGAGGAGATATCCTAGAGGGTGGTTATATGCCTGCCTTATCAGAGAGAATCATGCAGTAAGCCTGTCTTAGGAGAGAGCAGAAGTTTTAAATCTTAACAGGGGGACTTGGTTTCAGTTCTCGCTTCCAAAAGTGTAGAAAGAAGTCTTGCTGGAGGGGAGGAGCATTAAAGCATGAACAAGTCCTCAGGACCAGAAGTTTGTTTTATGATTAGGCTTTGGAAAGATGGACGATGGAGGCTAGATTGGGGGTGTGTAAGTTTCAGTGTGATGTCACCATCTCTTCCTTCTTTGGGAGCAGCACCCCCTTTCTTTGAGGTTTCCCCATCTAGAAGTTTTTACTGAGCCATCCATCACATGATGCATGTGACCCAGCCAAGCACAGATGCCCCCCACTACCCCCCCGCCCCCTCCTGGAGCAGTGGGACTGGCCCAGGGCTGTGACTGCCAGTCCATCTGTGGCAGGCCCTTCAGAGGGCTTCAAAGGGATTTTGGTTTTTAATTCTGTAAGAGATCCCTTTTTCTTTCCTCTGGGTCACTGAGCTGAGCTAATAGCAGCCTGGAGTCATCTTTAGCCAAGCCAGCCTGACCTCCCCAATGTGAAGAGGTCACCAGTTGAAGGTAGGGGTAAACGAGCCTAAGTATCAAGGGAAACACTGATAAGAGATGGAAGGGGTCCAGAAGAAAGATGTCAACCTGATGATACCATTTAAGCTGGTGAAGTCCCTGGTGGGGAGAAGCAAGGCCACACACAACGCATGCCCTTTTTAACAGCTCATTTGAGTACACATCCTGTTTCTTGCAGCAGAAAGATTCCTGACAGAGGCATTTACGCATTATGCACATTCCATGAAGGAGCCTTTTAAGGGGGCATGGTCATCATATCTTCATCACCCACGGCCTGAATGCCCATCACGTGGCCCCTGTCATCAGGGATACGGAGATGGTCCTCGTGCCCACAGAGCTTACAGGTACCCTGATGTAACAGCTTCGTGAGAAGGCCAGAGGAAACAGGGAAGAGTGGTGGGTGGTGAGGGCCGGAGGCAGGAGGATGCTTTCAAAAGAGATTCCTGGAGCAATCCTTGGGAGGCAGAAGGAAAAGTCTTCTCCACTTTGAGTCTAGGCAGGGACAACTGCTTGAGATTTTTGCCCAAGTAAAAAAGCCATAAAGCTTGTGGTGGAAGAGAATGGCCATGGTCCATCCAGGCACCATTTTACACTTCTACCTCTAGGTAAGGGCTGCATCCCTCCCCTGAGAGGTGCCCTTGGCTGGAATGCTGGAAGAAGGGGGTACCTAGGTGGGTTAGATGTTCACTGGGGACCATTCTGGGGGTTCTGGTGAACTCCAGGGATGCTCAGAGCCTTTGACCCTCACTGCTCAACTGGCTAGACGCTCAGGAGTGTGCCAGCCCCTGGGAAAGGTCAGGCTGTTTGCGTCAATGCAAAGAGATCCATGGCGGTGGGGAGCAATGATGGGATGGTGCTGGTTCAGTGGTAGCACCTGAAAGTTCATTGTTTCTTTCCCCTCCAAAAGGCAGGGCCGGGGCTGCTGAAATTGCACATCTCTGTCTCGGGGTTCAGTCCCAGCCTCTCTCCTGCAACAGAGCCTGGCAGACTAGTCCTTGAAGGGACTAGCTTCAAGGGAGGACTCCTTGGCTTCCTAGTCTACCTGATCACGGAAAAGGCCCCTTAAAGGTGAGCATGATATAGCTACCCTGCTAGTTGCCAAATCCCATTAATTGTGTGTGCTAAGTAGCGCTCAGGTCTCCCTCTGTCTTCTCTGCTAGTGATTTCATTTCTTGTTTGGATTACCCCCTCCTCCTATCCTGTCCCCAAGGAAGTCTGAGAGGTCTTTCTAACATGACAAAACCCAAGACATCACTCTGCCAACCAAACCCCAGAGCAGCACCCCCACCCTAGCAAAATATGCCCTTCATTCTCTTCCCATCCTAACCCTGACCAACTCACTCTGTCTCACAGTATAACACAGCCCTTTCCAGCCCTTTCTCTCCAGCCACACTGAGTTAGTTTTCTGAAATGCCATTCCTTTTTTTTTGGGGGGTGGGGAACTGCTTTGCCTTTTCACAGGTGACACTTTGATCACCCCGTGCTGATATCGTTGCCTGGCTAATTCCTCCTGCTCTGTAGAACTGATTCCAACTCTTCTGTGAAGCATCTCTCAGCCCTGAGCTGGAGGGCAGGGACCCTGCTACGTGGTCACCAAATCTCCTTTCATTTTCTTCTTAGGCTCGCAGAAAGACACCATTTCCTAGACTTCCTTGCAGTTAAGTTGAAGTCACCCCACTGTGTTCTCACCAGGGGGAATGGCAGTGATGCCTGCCACATCTAGCCGAGTTCATTAAGCCCCTGATTTCAGGGCTTATCTGTGCCCATTTGTTAACCGACCACAGCACATCCTCCCCTGACAGACACAGTGACGTGCCCCTTTCCCTTGACATCCTGGCCTCGTTGACAGCTCACAACAACACGTGACTCGCACGTACCACTCCACCTTCCTCCTCTACCTTCTCCCAACGGCTCCCCAGCAATTTCCAGGAGTTGCTTTTATTTCATTCACTAAACAATTTATGAATTGAATTAAAATAAATGAGATGCAAATAAATTCCAGGCTTTCTCCCTCATTTTCAAATTACATTTTCAGTCCACTCAACCTGTTATAATCTCATAGTGATTTTCATTTAAGAGAGCTAAATGGATATGTGATTATTGTTACAGGAACTAACACCAGACAATTAAATGTTGAGGTGTTGATAGATAAAGCTGTGTTTCGATTTGCATAAACATGATGCCAGCAAATCTAACCCTGGCAGAAATTCAGTTATAAGACTTGCGTGCCTAACTTCTGCTAATTACCACGAGTACCATTATTACGACTTTTAATATTCAGGCTTGGGATTATGGCCATTTTATTTGAGGGCTGCATTTATCTTTATTTCAAAAACTCAGTCAAAATGCATCACTGACTTATCAGAGAAAAGGCACGATTACTATTCCTAATCAACTTCTACGGTGCAGTGTATCAAAAATCAATTATACAGCCCTGAAATCCAGTCATTAAGGATTTAGTTACTAATCTCATTTCATTTTTGTCTTTAGGAAGATACTGCAGCTTGCAACTCTACAGATACCAGCAGCAGAAGAAAAACATGGGCAACTGCTGATAACCTAATGTGGAGAATTAAACTCCAACGAAGCAAAGGTAGAATCTTAACATGGAGTGTCCTGGTTCTGCAGGGAGTCACCTGGGCTGACTTGATTTCAAGCCAATAACACAATAGAAGTTACGACCCAGGTTTTTTTGTGGGTGAGCCTTCTGAGCTCAGGAATTTCAAAGCATTTGTTAAACCCTGCAGTATCTCATTGTTTACCATCTTCCTGGTGTGTATCTCAATCTACAATGATTTTTTATCTGTTAGTTGGCTTACTCTCTGCTGCCTCACCTGCTGACTGTAAGCTGTAAGAGGGCAGGGATCTTGTGTGGTATGCCATATAGCTCCATTGTGTACCACAGAGCCTGGCTCCTCATTAGGTGTTCAATAAGTAGGTGCTGAATTTGACAAAGACTGAGATCTCAAAGATGTTCCCAGTGAGCATGAAGGTAAGAACCCGTCCCTCTTAATGCCATGTAAGTGACCAGAGCAGGACCCAGGCTATCTGGATGACTGTTGATAGAATCAGGAGTTGTGAAGCCTATTGGCTAAGAATCCTAGCATGTGAGACAGAGAGAGAGAACTGGGGCTGAGTCCTGGCCTTGGCATTTTCAAGCCATTGTACTCCTGAATTGGTTACTTAGCTTCCCAGAGCCCATGTTTTCTCATCTGAAAAATGGAAATAATACCTACCCCCATTGGGAAAGTAAGATAATGCAAGCAAAGCATGTAATGTCGTGTTTGCATCATAAAAGTCCTCCATGAATGTTATATGTTGGTTTTAAAAGCTGTAACTTGTGGTGAGTTACCTACTCTGTGGAAGCTAGAGTCAGTTCAAACTTCTTTCTGCAGCGTGCTTGTTACTTCCTCTGAGGAAGTCTCCCCTGATGCTGCAGGGTAGATGAGAGCTCCTCCTCTGTGATCCCACCAAGCCCTGCATGTTCCTCCAGCTTCTCACTCAACCCACTGGATTATCCTGAGTTCATCTGTTCTACCAGACTGTCAACTCCTTGAGCCTAGAGAGTGTGTGATAAAACTTATTTAGTGAAGCACACAGTAGGGCATAGGCAGCAGCTCACTTGTTAAGTTGGGCAAATGGTGAAAGTTGACAGAGAAAATGGCGAGTGTGGGAAGAACACCAAAGGGAATCTCTACTTTCAGCTGAAGGTAAATCCCCACCTTTTCCATCCTAGAAAATGCAGGACATTCTCCCTGAGACCTGAGTCCCCGAGGGATGTGACTCACGTGTCTCTTCCAGGGAAGAAAGGAGCCATGGAGGCTTGGGAGATGGCCTCAGCGCCTGAGGAAAGGGGGTGTCCCCTGCCACTTTGCAGGGGCGAGTTGCGTGGGACGACTTACCCGGAGCTTCCTGCCAAAGATGGTGACTTTGCCTTTAATCTGTTCCTTTCGTAGGCGCCACTCAATGGAGTTGAGGCCGTTCTCCATGGGCAGGGAGATATTGCAGCGCCCAATGGTGGGTGTGATGGTGCCCGCGAGCACGTGGGGCTCACTGTGGAAGCTCACGCCCATCCCATTGGCGTACATCACCCGCAGGGTTCCATTGTTGCAGAGCTGATAGCTGTTCCGCACTTGATCTGGAGAAATGGAGGTGCGGGCAGGGAGAGGGAAATAAATTATCCGTGCTGCTAGTCATGAGAGAACAGAACCCCTATTTTCGTAGGTTTCCATGGTACTTTGCAGCTGTCAGTCTAAGGCTGCCTTCAATTAGCACACGTGCAATGTTAAGGTGAGTAGCAGAGATGCTACTGATCCGTGGAAAGAAAAACATTATTAATATGTGGCATTCTAGAAATAATTATGCTGTGATATTTTTCTTCTACTCACTGAAGACTATTAATAGTACATTTAAAGACATATCATGCCTACACAATTTGTGTCAATCAAATCCCTGATCTTTAACATATATATTTTAGCTGAAATGGAAAAAAATAAATGAAAACAGACTTAATGTTGTTTCCTTTCCCCTACCATCTAACCTGAGGCTGATGGTTTACCATGGGTCAGATCCACTGCAAAACAAGTCTAGGATTCTTCAAGAAGCAGCAGCCTTCCTGCCCCTCATCTCTTTGCTGCTGACTCTACCATGATGCCACCTCCACACCAGACAAATCTGAGCAGCCTCAAATAGCAAGAGTGAGACTGAGCCAGTGGGTGCTGATAACGTGCGTTTATCTGCCCAAATGGAATCTACACTCGTCCATCAGACTTCTGACCTTTTTCCTTATCGAAAAGTTCCAGGTAGGAAATGTGAGTCTGAGATGCTTCTTATGGCTATGTTACTTCCTAATTATTTGGGCAGAGGAGTCCAGCTGGGCTGGCCTCCGAGATGCTAACTTTTGGGGGTAGCAAGCAAGTGGGGACCTGTCACTCCTGCGACTGCAGCCATCATGCAGAAAGACAAAAATCTACATCATTAATCATCTGGCAGAGTAGAAATAGAGTCATGGAAACAGGCTCTGTTGTGGGATAATAGTCCAGAAATGTCACCATTTATCTGCCACGAGGACACTTTTATCTTCTGACAATGGGCTAGCCCACCGACATTCTATCTTAATTAAAAGAAAAATTAATCTTCATGATTCCTTTTCTTGCCAGCCCGTGCTTGTCCTGGAGTGTGCGTCATGTTGAATAGCAAGAGTAACTATGAGCTGGTCAGAGACCTTTACGGTCTGGTCAAGAGACTGCTAAAAGGGCTCTGTGGCTTGAGGACAACGGTCTCATCACACAAATGTTTGGTAGAATGAGACTAAAACCACCTTTGCGGAGGCAGCTGTGTTTGTTGGGTGAGTAGGGAGTTCTGGTGACAGAGAAGTGGGAATGGAAAGGGACATTTTCAGGTCAATATGTAGACATTCCCAAGTATCCCAAACTAGAATGTCAGGTTGGTATTGTAGAGGACATTCTCCTGCATCTGACTGAGTCCTTTTCTATATGGTGGATGTCTCAGAGAGTTAGTTTGCTATGGACTAAAAATGCAAGCTGAGGGGTGCTAGGAAATCCTCTCAGGCCTGGTAACTCACACCTGCCTCTGGCCTTGGTTGCGTCTGAGGGTGAGTGTGTGGGTAGGATGGTGATGAGCGAGGGACTTACCTTGTACCACTGTGTAGGAGGCCTCCACCGAAGACAGGTTGGTAATGACGGTGACATCGTCATCACGGTTGGAGTTCTCAATGTCAATAGTGATGGACTTCTCCATCTCCCGGTGGAGGCTGGTCACCACCCCCGTGGGGCGTGTCACGTTGGTGAGGCGGCCCTCATGGTCATAGCTGGAGAAGAGAGACACTGATGAGAAGCAGTCCTCAAAACTCAGAACCCCACAAGGGATACACTCATGGGGCTAGAAAAGGAGAGAGGGGGAAGGTGGGGTGGCCGGGTGGTGCAGCACGCCCCCCTGCCCTGGGAAATGGTGATGCTTTCTCCTACCCACCCATTTACCTAACAACATACTCAGTGAAAGCATTTCACCTCAGGCAAGGGGTACTTAATTACGCTTTCCCAAGTTAGTGAGAAGAGCTACCTGATGCTCTTTAATTTGGGCTCCACAAAGTGAAGGACTAACTAATAATGAACAAGAAAATCTGAATAGACCAGTGAGGAGTAAGGAGACTGCCTCATGAATCAAGACCTTCCCACCAAACAGAAGTCCAGGATCACTCGGCTGGCTTCCTGGCGAGCTCTACTGAATATGCAAACAAGAATTAATACCAGTCCTTTTCAAACTCTTCCAAAGAATAAATGGGAGGGAACACTCCAAAGTCATTTTATAAGGCCAGCATTACCCTGATACCAAAGCCATACATGGACACTGCCAAAAAAGAAAATTACAATTTAGTGTCTCTAAACATAAATGCAAGCATCCTCAACAAAATATTAGCAAATAGTTATTCTAGGGAATGCAAAGATGGTTCACATCAGTAAATCATTCGATGTGAAATACCATATTATCATCTCAATAGATGCAGAAAAACACAAAATTTACAAGAAAACCCTCAATGAAGTGGTTATAGAGGGAACAGCAGATAGAGTGGTAAAAAGCTGACCATTTTTACTTTGAGATCAGGAACAAGTCAAAGAATCCCACTTTATTCAACATAATATTGGAAGTCTTATCCAGAGCAATTAGGCAAGGAAAAAAGGTATTATTTGTAAATAACATATTATATATATATATATAAAACACTAAAAACTTCACCCCAAAAAACTGTCAGAAATAATAAGTTCAGTACAGTTGAAGGATACAAATATGTAAAATCTATTATGCTTCTATAAACTAATAATTACCAGAAAGAAAATTTTAAAAACCATTTATAGTTATATCAAAGAAGAAAAAAATACCCAGGAATACATTTAACCAAGGAGGTAAAAGACCTGTACATTGAAAGTTATGACACTAATGTAAGAAATCAAAGAATACACAAATGAAAAGACAGTATATGCTTATGGATTGGAATAATTAATATTGATAAATTATCCATGCTGTCCAAAGCAAGTTACTGTCTCAATGCAATCTCTGTCAAAATTCTAACAGTATTCTTCATAGAAATAGAACAAATACCCTAAAATTTGTACAGAACCACGAACCCCAAATAGCCAAAGTAATCTTGAGAAATCACTAGGGAACTGCAAATCAAAACCCACACATACATGGTCAGTTTATAATACAGGAGCTGAGACTATACAATGGGGGAGGAATAGTCTCTTCAACGAGTGGTGTTGGGAAAACTGGATAGACACATGAGAAAGAAGGAAACACTGTCTTATACCACTCGTGAAATTGACTTAAACGGATTAAAAACCTGAATATAAGATCTGAAACCACAAATCCTAGAAGTAAATATAGGCGGTAAGCTCCATGACATGAGTGTTGTGGTTTTTTTTTTTTTTTTTACTTGACACAAAAACAAAGGTAATAAAAGCATAAACCAACAAGTGGGATTACTTCAAACTAAAAAACTTTGGCACAGAAAAGCGAACCATCCACAAAATAAGGCAATGTACTGAGTGAGAGAGAATATTTGCAAATCTGACCAGAGAAAATATCCAAATATATAAAGAATTGATACAACTCAATAGCCAAAAACATGAACAATCTGACTAAAAAATGAGAGGACATACAAATGGCCATCGGGTACCTGAAAAGATGTTCAGCATCGTTAATCATTGGGGAATTGCAAATCAAAACCATACTGAAATATTACCTCACAATAGTTAGAATGGCTCTTGTAAACAACCAAAACCAACCATGCTGGTGGTGATCTGGAGGAAAGGGAACCTCCTACACGGTTGTTGAGAATGTAAACTGGTGCAATCACTATAGAACAGTATGGGGATTTTTCACAGAATTATCATGTGATCCAGCAGTTCCACTTCTGGGTGGAATCTGAGGAAAACAAACATGCTAATTTGAAAATATTTATGCACTCACATGTTCACTGCAGCATTATTTACAACAGTCAAGATATGGATTAAGAGGTCCATCACCAAGATGAATCAATAAAAAAGCTATGGTATAAACACAATATTATTCAGCCATAGAAAGAATGAAATCGTGCCATTTGTGACAACATGCATGGACTTTGAGGACATGATGCCAAGTGAAATAAGTCAGACAGAGAGACAAATACCCTATGATCTCAGCTATATGTAGATCTCAAAAACAAAAACAAAACCCCACAAAAAACCAAGCCTATAGACACAGAGAACTGACTGGTGGTCGCTTGAAGTGAGGGGTAGAGGAAGACGGTCAAAAGGTACATAATTTCCAGTCTCCCAAGGCAATAGAAGTAAAAAATAAACAAATAGACCTAATTACGCTCACAAATTTTTGCACAGCAAAGCGGACCATAAACAATGACCTACAGACTGGGAGAAACATTTGCAAACAATGTGACCAACAAGGGCTTAATTACCAAAATATACAAACAGCTCACACAACTCAGTAACAGAAAAGCAAACAACTCAATCAAAAAAATGGGCAGAAGACCTAAACAGACATCTCTTCAAAGAAGACATACAGATGGCCAAGAGGCACATAAACAGATGCTCAACATTGCTGATTACTAGAAACATACAAATCAAAAACTACAATGGTAGTTTGGGTCAGAAGAGCCGCCATCAAAAAGTCAACAAATAACAAACAGTGGGGAGGATGCGGAGAAAAGGGAATGCTCCTGCACTCTTGTGGGAATATGAATTGGTGCAGCCACTATGGAAAACAGTATGGAAGTTCCTCAAAAAACTAAAAGGAGAGTCACTATATGATCTAGCAATCCCACTCCTGGGTATATACCTCGACAACACTATATATGCACCCCAGTGTTCATAGCACCACTGTTTACAACAACCAAGACATGGAAACAACCTAAACAGGCATCAACAGAGGAATGATAAAGATGTGGTGTACATTTACAATGGAATACGACTCAGCTAGAAAAAGAATGAACTAATGCCATTTGCAGCAACATCAGCGGACCTAGAGATTATCATACTAAGTGAAGTAAGCCTGGAAGAGAGCGACAAATACCATATACTATCACTCATATGTGAAATCTAAAATATGACATAAACGGACTTATCCATGAAACAGAATCAGACTTATAGACACAGAGAATACACTTGTGGTTCCCAAGAGAAAGGTGGGGTTGGGGAGGGATGGATTGGGAGTTTGGGATTAGCACATGCAAACTGTTATGGATAAATTACAAGGTCCTATCGTATAGCACAGGGAACTATATTCAGTATCGTATAAGAAACCATAATGGAAAAGAATATGAAAAAGAATTAATTCAATCACTTAGATATACAGCAGAAATTAATGAAACATTGTAAATCAACTATGTGTGCATGCATGCTAACGGGTTTAGTTGTGTCTGACTCTATGCAACTCCATGGACTGTAGCCCACCAGGCTCCTCTGTCCACGGGATTCTCTAGCCAAGAATACTGGAGTGGGTTGCCATTTCCTTCTCGAGTAAATCAACTATACTTCAATAAAATAAAAGGTACAGATTTTCAGTTATAAAGTAAGTCATGGGGATGTAATATACAGCATGGTAACTGTAATTAATACCGTATTACATATTTGAAAGTTGCTATTGCTAAGAGTAGAACCTGAAAGTTCTCATCATAAGAGTTTTTTGTAACTATATGGTGACATATGTTAATTAGACTTATTGTGGTCATTTTACAACATATATAGAATCATTATGTTGTATCCCTGAAACTAATATAATGTTACAGGTTAATTTTACCTCAATAAATAAGAAAATAAAAAACAGTTCTAAGTGTTTTGATGTGGGGTGCTTACTGGAGAACTCAGTATTTCAACTCTTGCTGCCAAGTAGGGACAATGTAAGCAGTGTATTCCATGAGCCCCAGGCAACGATTTAATTCCAATCCACTATATTACCTGGACACCTACAGTGTGTAGATTGCTGTGCTTTGCTGTGAGAGAAACAGTAGGAACCGGAGATTTTACTTTCTGGGAAAAGAGGATTAGGGCTGAGACCAGAATCTCAGCAACCACTGGGAGAAAAGCAGGTTTTCTTTAACTTTGAAAGAAGATTCAGCTTCTGATACCCCTGGAGTAAATGTCTAAGATTCAGGTCTCTCTGCAAAGAAGCCTGCAGACACTGGCAAGGAGCTGTGAGTTCCAGTAATGGGACCTCATGGCCACCTAGTGGAACCAGCTCTGTCTTCCTTGTCTCAGGTGGGGCTGGAGGCTGCTTTTGACTCCTTCATTCAGCACCTACTCACCGAGTTCCTCGTAGGTGCCAGGCACTGTTCAAGGATCTGGGGACCCAGCTAGGAACAAAATGGATGAAAATCCTTGCTCTCATGATGTGTGCAAACTAGATNGCTCAGGTGGTAAAGAATCCACCTGCAACGGAGGTTCTATCCCTGGGTTGGGAAGATCCCCTGGAGAAGGAAATGGCAACCCACTCCAGTATTCTTGCCTGGAGAATCCCATGAACGGAGGAGCCTGGTGGGCTACAGTCCGTGGGGTCACAGAGTTGGACACGACTGAGTGACTTCACGCACTCACTCATATATAGGCTAAGTTGCTTCAGTCATGGCTGACTTTTCGTGACCCCATGGACTGCAGCCCGCCAGGCTCCTTTGTCCATGGGATTTCCCAGGCAAGAATACTGGAGTGGGTTCCCATTTCTTCCTCCAGTGGATCTTCCTGACCCATGGATCCAACCTGTGTCTCTTACATCTCTTGCACTGGCAGGCACGTTCTTTACCGCTAGCATCACCTGGGAAGCCCATATATTGTGCTTTATATTAGTTTCTCCCTTCTGGAGGCCGTGTCCTCTGGGCCCCAGGGTTGGTAAGGCAGGCTCTGCCCCGGCAGGAGAGAGAGTGGCAGGAGTGCAGGGGGTGAGAAGACTGCAGGATGAATTCAAAGTGGAGTACTGGTCCAGTGGCTAAGACGCCATGTTTCCAATTCAGGGGGCCAGGGTTAGACCCCCAGTCAGGAAACTAGATCCCACATGCCACAATTAAGAGATTCTGCATGCTGCAACTAAGACCCAGAGTAGCCAAATAAATAAATATTTTTAAAAGTTTTCAAAGTGGACTATTATGTAAAGATCAGATGGGAAAACTACATGTTTTAATTCTGCCTCTCTAAACTGAATCCAGGTGTCTGTGGGGTCTTGTTCATGACTTTGTTGACTCCTCTCCCTAAAGTTTTCACTAAGGTGACAGTCCCAACAGGAGGTTGAATTTGCATCTGACTTTTAAACAACCGATTTGCTGACCATGTGTAAAAAAAAAAAAAAAAAACACCACAAAACAGAAGTTGCCATCTTTTTAGGAGGCTAAGAAAACCATATGCATTGAACTCCTACAATGGAGAATGTATGATCTTTTACCAACTTTATGGAAGAAAAGCAACTGTTCACATCAAGAGAGAAAAAAATTATGCTTCCGTGTAACTTCTGAACAATCATGACAGGGGGAAAAAACCATGACCATGTTTTTTCATCCAGTTTGGTGCCCCTTCTGGAAACTACTCTTCCACTGAAGAGTTCCTGTCTCAGGATGCACCTCAGCCTGAACTCTGTCACTCCAGCCTCTTAGACCTGGCCCACTTCAGACTGGCCTCCTGAGAGTGACACCAATTCTCTCTGAAATGTGTTGGGTCTTCAGGTGCAAGCAAGAAGTTGAGAATCTAGGAGGATTTGGGTTACGGTGCAGCTTTAGCTTAACCTGGTGTGAGAGCCAAAGATGGCATTCAGATGGCGCCTTCAGGGACAGAGTCACCTGGTAAAGTGGGATCCAGTCCCAGTGCCCTGAAGGATGTCAGGCTGCTTCAGACGTCTGAGAAAGACAGCTTTGCCCAGAGGAAGACGGCAATGCAACCTATTTCCAGCAGATGGCAGAAGCTTCCTTTACATTCTCTCAAAGCCTTCGGAATGCAAACAGGAAGTGAACATGCCTGAATTTAAGACTGATCATCAACGAAGTCTGTTCTCTCTCCTGTCCTTCTTTCCTTCTGTGACAACACCCGGCCAACTTACTAAATTCTCAGCTAGCAGCAACACATAGACAGAAAGCAACGACTCCAAAGTACATAGTGGCATAGTGGTTAACCAGATCCTTCACCATCAAGGACAGCCAGATCCTTACCAATGCCGTCCTTGTCTCAGCCAGCCAAGGAGCAACCTTAGCAATCATACCTTAGCAACCTCCTCCCACTGGCATCCCACTGGTTAATACCTGTAGCGGCAGGCAGGTGACCAAGAACTGCCTGCAGGAGTGAGGGAAAACAGCTTTTTGGTAAAACAAACAGCAGGGCTATCAAGTATGAGATAATTGTTAGGGGAAATATGACCAGCTCTCACATCTTTTAATATACCTAGCACTTTATCTGTATTGATCTGCTTCTGCTAAAGAGGAAACTCAGAGTTTATCTACCTGTCTGTGCAATCAAGTGTGTTGCTGGACCTATCAGCAAATTACAGGAGCCCCACCAGGACCTTGCCTTTTAGTTTCTAATTTCCGCACCCATGGCAAACATGAATAATCAGCAGAGTTAATCAACACTTGATCTCTCAGGTGCTGTGCGTGTCCAATATCCTGAAACTGGAACGGCAAGCAGACAACGGGAATTCCCAACTCTTGCAGGGAGGATGTTCGATATCAGACACCCAATAACGCAAATCATTTACGAGTCAGGGAGAGGGGACAGGACTATCCCGAGGCATTAAAGTCTCAGGAAGACAACATGACTATGTGATTCTAAAAGCCACACCAACAGCCGATCCTGATGCCAGTGAGGGTAGTAGGGTAAGTGCTCTGAGGAACTACTTTAAAAATCGACTTACTCATAGAAAGTTGTCCATCCTGTTTCATCACTCTTGGTGGCTAGGAGGCCAGTGTTCCCGTCATAGGTCATGAGGCCGAGCTCCAAGTTCTGTGTGGACACGACTTTGAGACCTCCGTTGGTACCCACTGTCAGGGTGATGATCTGGTTGTCGGGCATGAGCAGGTGGCGGGGCGTGCCGCTGCTGTCCCGACGGATCTTCAGGGAATTTCCGTTGTTGTCAATCAGCTCGGTGACAGCGTTGTCAGCACTGTACGTGAAGTTGTACAAGTACTCCCCCGTCACCAGGCTCACGGTGTACTGGTGGATGCCCTCGGCGTTGAAGACGTACAACTCCTGTTCCCCAGGGGAGGCAGCCTCATACTGGTTAAAAGCATTCAGAACGGGCTTGTTCTTGCTGACCGCCCTGATCCGAATATTCCCAAGGTCGGCGATGTAGATGGTACCGTCAGGAGCTACAGCTAAGGATGATGGGGAATTCAAGATGGCATCAGTCGCGTAGGCATCGTCTCCTGAGTAGCAGTTGCAATTGACATCGTTTTTGCAGTCACAGTCAGAGGCTGCGCCTGCTAACAGGCAGATCTCCCCATTGGTTGTTACCTGGCGTAGACGGTTAATCTTCTTCTCGTCCGTCTCGGTGATGTAGAGGACCCCAGTGTGAGAGATGGCAATGGCGCTGGCTGACTCCAGGGCAGAGTGAATGGCTAGCTTGCTGAGCGAGTAGTCAATGCCAGGAACCTGGCAGTGCATGGGGCGTCCCGCGATGATGCTGACTTGATGGTTCTCGGTGATGCGAAGGATGACGTTGTTCTCCAGAACATACAGGGAGTTGTCCATGGGGTTGACAGCAAGGTCTGTTGGCCACTCCAGGCGAACCTATGGATGATACAGCACCAAATTCAAGGACAGCCTCTAACATGCTCAATGTTTACCTGCCCAGGGCACTTCTATTGATTTTATGCAACTGGGGGGAAAATACTTTTTTTCCCTAACACAGTGTAGAAGAGCCCATCATGGAACCACTCGCTCACTGTCCATGCTGGGCATGATGGAGAACAAGAGACGGTGGAACAGACATCTTCTGTGGCATCACCTTCCGGGGCTAGAGTAGGTCACCAGTTCTACCCACAATGCTCTTTGCAGCCCCAGATGATTGGGCCAGGGCTGGATTCACCACACATAGTTGGACAGGTAGTTAGTTCATAGCTCAAGGGCTAGTGTAATGTAGTCCATGCTCTGCTCACCAAGCCATGGGACTGAGGAGGCTGTGTTCACTTAGAGGAGGCACCTTGATCTAATTCACAACAAGGAACCATGCAGTTTAGAAGGGGTCCCTGCCCCAAGGGCAGCCAAGGCACAGGCTGGCCAGTGAACTACAACCTGAGTGTTTGCTTGAAAATGTAAACTGGATAAAACACTTCCCTTCTCTGCAGAATCTGAAATGAAAACCTTAGGAATCAGTTGTCAGTTAGTTGAGGAATTTGAGCTGAAAGTAATGAGCTTGACTGAGGGTGGAAAAGGCCCTTTTGGAAGACTAAGCACAGACTCAGGTCAAGGACCCTTATATTCAAGTCCCATTTCTGTAAATCAACTATACTTCAATAAAATTTTTTTTAAGTATACAGTCCTTTTTCTCCTGTTGTACATTTGAGTGAGCCTCTGTTCTCTGCTAATGTAAGAGCCCAGACTAAAGACTATCACTTGGGGGAATATCACAGAGGGAATCTGCTCAGTTACAACTTCACAAAGTAAAGGTTTATATAGTGAGGATGCAATTGCTTCAGATTAACAGGGAAGTTCTGATTGACACATAGTACTGTATGGTATGTTCTCAAACCCACAATAATGATGGAGAAGAGACGTAATTACACAGTAACGCCTACCCTATAATCTGCCACGGCTGGAGCATGTCACCAGCTCCACGCTTCTGAGCGGAATTCCCCTCTCTCTTTCTCCTATTTCTCTTTCATGTCTGTCTCACATGTCCCATTCCATCTTGCTGTCCCGTTCATTTCAAACCTTCTGCAGACAAACCTGGGATCTGTATCTCCCCCTCCCACTCCACTTCCAACCCAGAGAGAACCCAGGTGAGAAGTTCAGGCTCAGAATCAGGTGTGGCACAGTGATGAGAAATGAGAGGGGAGAGAGGGAGAGGGATTCCCACCTGGGCCACATCCATGCTGGAGTCACAGCTGAGGGGCCGGACGGCAGTGAGGTCATTGGAGCCCAGCAAGGTGGAGATGATTCCATTCTGGTCGACCTTGCGGATCATGGTGGCGTCGACAAAGTACATGAGCCCATTCTTGTCAACTGCAATACCTGAGTGGGGCAGACAGCATGAGTGTGTCTCTTGGCAAGGGACAGGGCTGCTGGGGTGGTGGTGGTGGTGGGGATGCCCTACTAGGCATTATCTTCTTGGATGAGGGACCTGACTGGACAGCACACTGAAGAGTCATTTAAGGTGACACCCTTTCTCACGGGCACTGTGCTGAGATCTGGCTAATTCCTGGGGTGTGGGCTATTTCACCACACAAGCGAAGAAAGAACCTTGGGCTGCAAATGAACCAAGGCTGCGAATGAATGAATGGGGAGATCATTTTGCATCTGCTCTTTTTTAGAAAAGAGCTATTTCCCAAGTTCACTGCTTGAAAAATTATTGGTAGTAAATTACTGGAATACCCTTCACAACTGATTGCCACACTAAGGTTGAGAAACAGTGACTCTTGCAGTCACAAACTCCTAATTCAAAATATATCCTCCAGGAAGTATTCCCAGTTAAGCCGTGATTCCACTCGGCACATTGTTATTCCAGGGGAGTGCTGGTTCTAGCACTCCCTTGGTAAGAGGCAGACAGCAGCTTTATTTCTTCCGCATTTTCACCCCAGTGCCCAAGCCCAAGGCTCCCCATCCTTAATCTACACTGCTGTGTGCTTTCAGCTTAGCTAAAAATGCTAACAAGGATTGGACCTTCCAGTGATGGTCCTTAACCTTCAGCATCTTTAGTTCTTTTCAAATAGAGATCCCTGAGAGCCAAGAACCCCTCCTTGCCAATCCCAGTCCCTTGGAAATTATACTGATTCTTAATTGCCGCCATTATGGGGCATTTGCAAAATGTCAGGTACTGTTTGGACTTTACATACACTGCTATCTAACAGGAACAGCTGGGAGTGGTTGGCGGCTCCCCCCACTGGGCCCTGTTCTGTCTCCAGCCCACACAGCTGGCCTTCGGGCTCACACCGCGAGCATTTCCTTCTGACTCTCTGTGACCGGCAGCAGTCAGCAATCTCTAGGGGCCAGTGACCCCACATTCCATTTGTAGCCTATGTGGGAGATGAAGTTTACTTCAGATAAAGAAATACTTTTTCTTAAACAGCGCTCACCCACCCACCAAAGCCATCTATCAGAAGTAAATTACTCTAGGACAAGCTGGGTTTGGGACTGCCCCGGCTGAGTTCTCTTCCAGCATGCAGGGAGCCGGGTGTGCGGTGAGCTCTCTCTGGGGTGGGGCTTTCTTGCTGGGCAGCCATTACCTCGGGGGCTCATCAGGGTGGCGTCCACAGCCTTGCCTCCGTCCCCGCAGCGGGCTTCGTCAAAGGGCAAGCACTGCTCGCCGGTCCCTGCCACGACTTCCGAGTTCCCAGCCAGGTCTTTGGCTCCACTCAGAGACTTGACGCGGTAGATTCGCCGGCTGTTGGTGTCAGACACGTAGAGAGAGCCGGACACGGGGTCCACAGCCAGGTAGTACTTGTGTGCAGGGTTGTTGCTTCAGGAGAAGAAGCACAAAGAGCAGTGAGACGACGCCATGCAGCTGGCCTCCTGGGTCAGAGAGACGACACACAGCCCAGCGAGACTCTAACCCCCTCTGGAGTCTATTGGGTTGGCCAAAAAGGTCGCTGGGTTTTCCGTAAGATGGTCTGGAAACACCTGAACCAACTTTCTGGCCAACCCAATACTTTAGTGAACTGGAAAGAATCTAATCTAGTAAGTTAGTGTTCTACATATCATGGCTCTGAGCTATTTCTGCTTGGGCTTAAGCTCCTCACGTTATCAGAGAATTCATCACTTCCCATCCTGCTAAAATACCACTGCTTCATTTAGCTGGTGTGAAAAACCCCACTCTGATCCTGCTTTCGTGTTTGTGTTTTGTGGGCACTGATCTTCTTTACTTCCCCCGTGGGTTTACTCTGTTCTCAAGTGGGATTGAGGAACACTTCCACGAGGCAATGCCCTCTTTCTAATCTATGCTTCCTCAGTGACTCCAAGGTACTAGACCACGAGGGCTGGGGCAACCTTGAGTCTTCCTAACTTTGTGACGGACTCCCTGCAGCCATCTCAAGTCCTCAGCCTCAGATCTTTTCTGCTGCTCCTCAGTGTGGATACGAACGAAGTTGGTATTTTGTGTGACGACCTGTGATGTCTTGCTGACATCATGTTCAGAATCTAAATAATAAAGGAAGGAGATGTAGTTTTCAAATATTGGGTAACAGTGAGATCTGGGGGCTTCCCTGGTGGTTCAGTGGTAAAGACTCCACCTGCAATGCAGGAGATGTGGGTTTGATCCCTGGGTGGGGAAGATGCCCCGGAAAAGGGAATGGCAACCCAGTCCACTATTCTTGCCTGGGAAATCCCATGGTCAGAGGAGTTGGTGGGCTATAGTCCATAGCGTTACAAGAGCTGGACACGACTAAGCAACTAAACTACCACCAACCAATAGTGAGGTCAGAGGTGTGCCCCAGAAGCTGCCAGGACCCTAAGTCACACTGGGAGAGAAGCACCTCAGTGTGGAGGTGATGTATCAGGAGAGCATGAAGCCTCAGAGACCTGATCTCTTTCTCTGCTGTGCATTCAGCTCTGCTATGGGTAAGATCTGTAAACCTGGCTCAGAACTAAGACTCAGGAAACTCTAAACTCAACTCGAACTCCGCCGGGGACCTTAAGGAAGACTTTTGGCCACAGTGGGTCCTAGATTCCTTATTGGGGGTAATGAAGAAGATGAATCAGGGTATTACTTATGTCCCTTTTGGCTCAAGCCCTACATTTTTGTCCTTCTGCAGTGTGTGTCACTGGTTGGAGGTTGCAACAGAATGGGTCCTCATGCTATTCCCACACTGGTTATTAGCATCACTGTCCCTAGGGTACAAGTGGCAGGTGTCTCTCTGTCTTAGGTTTTGGTGCCACAGGTCTAAATGAGCACAGGCCGTTTTTTTTTCCCCAGTCATTTTGCATCTGTAGTTTGGAATTATGGGAAGAGAGGAGCTGGAAAAGGTGAGGCAAAGATGAGGGCGATGAAGGTGTTGGATACATCTGTCCTGTAGACATTAGCTGGTAAATTACTAATTAAAACACCACCACTTGGGTTCTTTGCTGATTTAAATAAGAAAATAACTAGAAAGCTATTTCTAGGAACAGTTTAAGCATTGATACCATCTTAATTCCAGCTTCTCCTCAGGTGGCTGTTAAGACCCATACCTGAACCAGAAGTCAAGGGCTTTCTAAAATTCCAGCCTAGATGATGAGTCGGGGAGAGTAGGCTACCCAAATTCCTTGCCTTCCTTCATTATTCCTTTTGTTTATTATTTATTTTTGGCTATTAAGTCTTAAGAGACTATATGTACAGGCAACGAAAATGAGAGCAGAAAGGGAAAAGTTCATGCTGGTTTTTAATTAGATGCTGTACTTTGTTACTGGCCTTGGAGGAGCTGGTGCCATCCTCAGAAGAACAGGGCATTGCAGGTTTGTGCCTGCCTTATGAACAAGATAATTAATTCTGGACTTTCTAGGGAGCCCGATTCAAGGAGGCTTTTCCAAATTTCTGGCAGAAGAGCAGCCAGTTGAGGGTATGGGGTCAGTTCCTACTGGGAGCCCATTCTTCCCCACGGTCGGTCTCATACTCATTCCAATCGAGATGCTTACAGAGCTCAGGTAGATGGGCAGCCATGCTTTCACACTGGGGCTATGGTGAAGGTCAAATGGAGTATGGAAATTTGAGGGGGTGTCCTTCCACAGTGTTGCTGCTTTTTAAAAAATTTGGACCAACTGGGTGTCTATAACTAGCCAATTTTGGCGGTGCCTGAGATGGAGGAGGCAGAGGACTCCTACACACGGCTCTTACACTGACTTTGATGATTACACAACTTAACTCTACTCTTTGCCTGTGTGTGTGCTCACTCACTAAGTCATGTCCGACTCTTTGCAACCCCATGGACTGTAGCCTGCCAGGCTCCTCTGTCCATGGGATTTCCCAGGCAAGAATACTGGACTGGGTTGCCATTTCCTGCTCTAGGGGATCTTCCCAACCCAGGGATCGAACCTGCATCTTCTGCATCTCCTGCATTGGCAGGAGGATTCTTTACCACTGAGCCACCTGGGAAGTCCCACTCTTTACTTGATTTTGACCTAACATGATGCAGACGCTTCTGCCAACATTTCATTTCAAGGAGTGCGGAGAATAATTCCCTTGAGTATTAAGATGCACTTTTTTCCCTCCTCTTCCAAGTAAAAATAAGGTCACTTTTCTGATGTTTTAGTGCAACCCAAAGTTTTCCTAACTTTGTAACAGGAAGCTCCTCAGAGCACTATGCATGTAGAAATGAACCGTACCAGTACAGTTTTAAGTGATAACGTCAGAGCAGCTGAATGACAAAGGGTATTTAGACAAAAAGTACTTGGTCCACACCCTTCATACTACTTAAAAGTGATTGAATTTTATGAAAATTCCCAGTGCATCTGACTGTTGGATTCATTTTGACCAGCAGATTGGCAATTAACTTGTTTTTTTTAAGTGACCATACATTCAGGGGAAAAAAATCATTAATGAGTTGAAAATGAGTTTTTGACCCGTTTCCAGTTCATTAAAGCTTTTGTGAACCCAGTCCAGCATTTACAAAAGCCAGAAGTTTACCTCAACTGTTTAGCCCAATTATGGACCGCAATGAGCAGTCGGGGTAAAAGTTCGCTGAGGGTTCATTATCTCACACTTGCATCTTCCGGAAATTCTAATTACTGTCAGCTTATTTGGTTCTTTTTTGACTGCATTTCATAATTGCTAAAGCTTATCATATCCACAACACACAATTAGCACATAAAAAGTTACTATATTTGGCACATAAAAATATACAACATTACACAAGAAAGCACAAAAACAAAACGCAAACACAAGGAAGCAAACGAACCATATCAAATTATATGGGAAAGAGTTCTTCATCTTACCTATGTTTAAACTCTTTATTTCTTTATAGAAAGAAAACAGAAGGAAAAAGAACAAACAGTTAGCAGAAGAACTGATGATAAAGTAAACGTAACATTTTCATTTCTTGTATAAAGGGTCCCCCCCCCAAAGGCAGTCTTCTTTTTTTTCCCTTCTAGCTGACAGCTCCTAGGACAATTACAGAAATGAGTCCTCTGCATACAAATAAGTTCCATTCCAAGAGCTTGTTTGTAAGTCTTATTTGTTAGTAAACTCCAACAAAGTTAGTCTTGGTACCCAACTAGCACAATTGGCTATATAGTAGTGTACTGTAATAGGTTTCTAATACTGTTTGCACAACTGATACATAAAAAACAAACACACAAAAAATGAAGAAACCATTTTTAATGTTACAGTACAGTACCTTGAAAAGTACAGTAGTTCAACAGCTGGTCTACAGGGACTGGCATTAAGTGAACAGGCAAGAAGAGTTTGGAAGAAGGGAGAAGGGAGAAGAGGTGGGAGATGGCAGAACTGAAGGATCATTAGCAGTAGGAGATGGAGGGCAACCTGCAATTTCACTTATGCCTTAGGTGACTGGACCAGGGTACAGTTTGCATCTTTGAAAGTTTGCAACTTGAAGGTTTATATGTAGGAGATCTACTGTATTTGGGAAGCTCCTTTAGTTTTAGATTCTTCCCAGCCACTGGAAAATCTGGACAAGAATGCTTAAATTCTCTGAACAGCAGTGTGGATTTACATGACCCAGGTGAAACAGCCTAATGCAGGGATGGCACACAGGTGACCTCTCGGGTGCCTACACCTACCCACTGGTACTGGCTGCTGGGAGGGCGGGAGGGGAGGATTCTGAAGCCACATTCAAGCTCATCTGCAGCACAGAGTGCTGAGTCGCTTGGGACATCTGCCTGGGGTGTGGGAGGGAGCCTGGTGACGCCTGTGCCACCTACTTGCCAATGGTGCATCATAGAATCAGGCAGAGGGACTCTGCCCCCCGGATAGAGCCCCTGCCCCAGACAATAGCATTTGCCAAACACTGGTGAGGCCCTGAGAGTCTCAACTATTTCCTCACCCTGCTCCAAGTCCCCTCCCCATCTGACACGCACGTGTGTGCCCCCCCCCCCCCCCCCCCNGTGTGCCCCCCCCCCCTCCCCAACATGCACTCTTCCTTACAGATAACACTCATCAATGAAACTCACAGGTGATGCTCTCCTCTCGTAATTGGAGCCAAAGACTCAGTGAATATTCTTTCTCAGACAGCTAGTGAAAGTTTTGCTTCTTTTTTCTTTCAAAAGTGAAAATACAGGGACTTTCCAGTGGCTAAGACTCCGAGCTCCTAATGCTGAGGTCAAGAGTTCTATCCCTGGTCAAGGAACTAGATCCCACATGCCTCAACTAAAGATACCACATGCCACCATGAAGATAGAAGATCCCACCTGCCATAACCAAGACCTGGTACAGCCAAGTAAAAAAAAAAAATCTTAAAAAAAAAGAATGAAAATACATATCAGGTTCAACAGAAAAGCAGCTGAATCTTAACAGCATTAAGGAGAAGAGGAGAGAGACTAGGGCCTCAAATAGAGAAGTACTCTCCATTTCTGAGGTTTTCTGGCCACTGTGGAAGGAACCCCTGACCTCTCTTTCCCTTCCAGCTAAGGGAGGAGGCTTCAGGGAAAGAACAAAGAGGGTTGAATGCTCTGATTCCTGTCTGGGTGCAGCTCAGGCCTTTGCCAGGGGCCATCATTAGTGGTGGGTTTGCACAGGGATTACATTTTTATATTTTATTCCAACATGTTAGTTTTCGCAAGAAAAAAAAAAGTTAATTAAATGATGCTGATAACTCTTGAGCTCTGACTGACATAGTGCAATTTAAGATTCATTCTGCAAAGCCTGGTGTGTCAGGGTGGCAGCCGGGAATTCTCGCATCTATTTTATATTGCTTAATGAAAGTGAAATGTTATCTGCCACCAGTGGTAGTCATATTTGGCTCTTAATTATTACAATATCAATTCCACTTTTTTAAAGTTAAGGTTTTGCGAAAAGACTGGTTGGGATTTGGGTCTGTAGACCTGACCTACTTCTTTGCTAAGAACATCTGCTTTAAGTTGATTAATATAATATCTATGTTGGGGGAAGGAGAAGGCAGTGGGGACTCAGTCACTGAGAGTGCAGGGTCCGAATGATTGTATGGATCTGAGCTCTGGACAAAGGCTGAGGTCACGGCTATTCCAGTCCAGGGCCATTAGTAAAGTGGCTGTTTAGAAGCAATGAACACAAATAACAGCACCATTGAGTCAATCTACGTACATGTGCGCAGGTGCCGTACTTACAAGGGATAGGCCTCGTCTTTGGGTCCATGGCCTCAGGACACCAACCCTTTGAGGAAAAGGTTGTCTCCGATTCAAGAATTGAGATGGATTAGTTCTCCACACTGAGGAGTTTCAATGACTCCCCTGCAACGTATTCAGGGTCTCTCTAAGACTTCTCCGCTTGTCTCAGGGACCTCTCTGTAGGCTGTCTTGTGATTTATGTGTGTGTGCTTATCATCAGCAACAGACATGAGTAAGTAAATCTGGACATGACTGACTTGTCTCTGTGTGGCTGATTCTTAGTAGACAGCCCTGGAGAGAGGGAGGGCTGGAAAAATGGGTTCTTGAGTAGAGGAAGGAAGCAATGGGCTGCTTCCCTTCATGCTGGAAGACCTGCCTTGGACGCGTTCCAGTCCCTCATGTTCTGCTGAGAATCACAAAGCTACCATCAGTGGAGACTGTAGTCTTTCTCTATTCCAATTCTATCACTCTGTGGCACAGAATAGGGTGGATGTGGGGTGGCCAGAGTTTTTGTTTACGTGTTTTACTTCTTAAAAAAAAGTGAGTTGGGATACATTTAGTTTAGTTTAGGGGGATGTGCTTCTGTGGCTTATACATAGTCCTTCCACTATCTCTTAGATGACAGTGGTATTCATGGCTCTAAAGAATGCTCCTGCCCTGTTATACCAACACACCTAACATCATTACAGGAACTAGGATGTCCAGTGGAGAAGTCATATATCATGAAAGTGCAATGGTTAATTAATAACAAACTTTAGGTTATTTGTCTGGATCTTGTTACGTCTGCACTAATTGCCAGCTTTTCTAAATTTGTCATTTGTTTGGGGTTCTTTTCTTATTTTAAATGGTAGACAGTTTCATTCTAAAATTGCATTAAGATTCAGACCCCATGAAACCTGGATCTGTCCTTGGTAAAAAGAGCTTTGAAAACAGTGCCAAGAACGGTCTAAAATTTTGTGGGAATATTGTTGTCATTGTTACTCTGGGTAGGTGCTATGTTATATTTTGTTTTCTGATCTCCATGTTTATACCCTGTCTACACAGAGAAAGCATTTCCCCTCTGAGTACAATCTCATTCTCCCTAGCTTTCTACGTTGGCATTAAGCAGGGTCTGTTGGAGGTGAACTCTCAGGCAAAGTTGGCCTTTGGTGAAGCCTCTGTTCAAACTCTGCTGCCCTTACCCACTCTCCTAGGTTCCTATTTCCTTGCATCCCTCTGTAGCACTCATACACCTGGGCAGGACAATCCCCTCCCCTAAACATCTTCCCTAGTGCAATGATGCTTCTGACCCATCCCATCAGCATCATTAGAATCTCAGTATGGGGAAGTGTTTTAGTTGGAAAAAAGCCTAGCTCATATCACAATATAATCTAATAATGGGAAAAAGAGAAAAAGCTTAGAATTGCAAACATGAAGGAAAGTGTGAGATTCTTATGTTTATGGAAAGGGGCCAAGTCAAGAAAAGGCAGACAGACACTGTCCCATCCGTTATCATTTCCTGCCCCATACTGGGGTTCAGGTCTGGAGATATTCTCAAACAGGGAAGACAGGAAAGTTTGTTTGTTGATAGAACTTCGCTCCAAAATGTGAATGATTGACAGATATACTCTATTCCACAGGGCTTGGGTTTTCTAAAAACCACCTGAAGAGGATAATTGTTATAAGAAGGGAAATGGGCTCCCAGAGGCAGGTTATCAGGCTTTCTTGGGAATGTGGGTATTGGAAATGTCTTGAATGCTGGTGGTATTAGAGCAGGCAGGTGATAACTGCTTTACATAAGAAGAAGGCTTCTTCCAGCATCAATTTTTCAAGTGGGTAGAACTCTGCCCCTACATGTTTGGGATAGGCAAAGGACGAAGTGAGGGAGAAGGAGCGTGAACACTGAAATAAAATTAGGGTTTGGAGGCTCAGCTCTGGGACAGGCACCAACTCCCAAAATTGGATCATTCGGCTGCCAACTCACAATGGAGAAAAGACAGAAGCACGACAGGTCTCTCCCCATCCCCCCCTCCCTTTGCTGGTTACTGTTTTGAAGAGAGGGGATTGACAGCCCTTTGTTTTCAGGTATGTGGTGGGAAGCAAAGAAGAATCAAACCAGTGTTCTTGTTAAAGCTTAACTTCTAATCGTCTGGATACCTGGCTGATGAAATGAGAGCAAGTCTAAAGGTGGTTACAAAGGAAAAAAAAAAAATCACACAGCTGTCAAGGGAAATTGACAGTTACACTCCCTCCAGCTGTCTTCAATGTTACCACGTGGGTCCTTGTACCATTGATGTTGTGGCCCCTGCAACTTGAGAGATGTGGAATCAGGGGCAAACTCCAACCAAAGAGAGGATGCTGGGCTTTATCCACTTTAACTCAAGGAGCACGTCTCGAGCCCCTCCTGTGGGCCAGGCACCTCTCTGGGCATCAAGGGGCAAAGATGTCAAAGGTGCTGACTCTACAGACGTTCACACCCCGGGGCCCTACAGACTGGCAGAAATAGCTGAAAAACATGATAGTCCCATGGTGTCACCTTTGTGGGAAATGAGAGTTAAATGGCTCAGGGGAGACCAGGCTTCACGGAAGAGGAGGCCTTCAAACTCCATTTCTAAAGGGGGACCTGACGCGGGAGACGAGGTGGAGAAGGTATTTTAAGTGGAGCAAGCAGCAGGAGCCAAGGCGTGGAGGCGGGGAAGTGGCAGGCAGGTGCTGATGGGGCTCTGAGCAGGAAGAGCAGGGACAAAAGGGCAGGGGCCAGACGTGGAGGGTGACAAACGCCAGATGCGGACATGCAGCCCCTCAGAACAGGCCCAGCGCTCACTCCGCTGCCTGCCCTGCCTCCCTTCCTGGCTACCCACTGACTACAGGATGCCTACGAAGATGTTCTACTAGAATAACACAGGGAATAAACAACTTGGGAAAGGGACCCGGTCGGGGAGCGCTAAGAAAGTGGCATGTCTCATTGTCAGCGTGACCTTCTGAAGATTATCCAGCCTCTTCCATTTTGCCTCCCCCTTCCTCTTACTGTTTATCTTTTGGTCATTATACCCTCTACCCCGTGTCACAACCCACACCCCCCACCCCGCCCCGCTAACCATGTTTCTGTGATGGTTGGTTGGTGGCTCTTCTAGAACACTCAGCTTGAATTGCTTTTCCTCTCTCAGGTGCCCATATCTCGTCCTCGAATGGGTGCTCTTTAAGCCTGGGTTTCATCCCCTTTGGGACCCAGCTCAGAGTCTGGCTCACCCTTATGCTCAGTAAATGCCTCCAGGATCCCCGATCATTTTATTGCTGAGGCTGTCATCTTCTTGGGGTGGAGCTGGGTTGTATTCTCTTCTTCTACCCACTCCCCACACTGTGCCTGGCACATCTCAGCATCCCAGAACACCAGCAACACTTGCTGGTGTTCAGAGCACTGACCTCCCTCTCAGAAAGATCTCAGAGACACAAAGGCAAGGGCAGCCTGTGGCTTCTTCCAAGTCCTTCACTTGGCAGCTGAGGCTGCCTCAGAAAATACCACCAACCACTTGGCTGCTCAGATCAAAATCTTAGCAAGACCTTTGATTCTTTCCTCACTCTCTGGTTCTCCCCACCCCAATTTCTGAAAATAGTCTATTGACATTTCCTATGAAATTTACCCTGAAAATGTATCTCAACTGGAAGCTCCCCATCTCCCTGGCTGCCACCCTAGTCCATGTCACCATCACTCAAATCCTGAAACAGGGCTACAGTCTCCCTATTGTCTCAGATTCCTACAGTCCATTCCTCACCTGATAGCCAGAGTCATCTGTAAAAAAAGGCAAATCAGATCATGTCAGTTCCACCCGTCTTCCTACTTTAACCTCCCATGGCTGTGCATTGCAGAACGAAAAAGAATGTGAAAAAGCGTCTATATGTATGTATAACTGAATCACACTGCTACACAGCAGAAATGAATACAACATGGTACATCACCTATCTTCAATAAAATAAATAAAGAAGAATATGATCCACACGTGTAGACACGGTTATTCCGATCTTGAAGCACTGGTCCCCTACCTACCTCTCTGCTCTCCTCTGAGACACTCTCCCCTGAGTTCTCCACCCTCCTGGATTTCTATCAATCCCATAAATAAGCAGGTTATTTGCTGATACTGGGGCTTTGCACAATTTTTCTCTGCCTGGGATACTCTTCCCTAGTACTCCACATGGCTATCCTCATCATTCATATCCCACCTCACGAATCACCTAATGCAAGGGGTTTTTCTGCATACTTTATCTTATGTAGCTTTCTTCTTCCTCCTCCCCATCATCACAGTCCCTATTTCTCACCCTGTTAGAGTTTCCTTAGAGCACTGAAGGCCACTTGAAAAACTTTTTAAAATTTGTCCACATGATTTAGCTTGAAGTTCCCTATCAGATCACCACCTTTGGCCGCCTGATGTGAAGAGCAGACACACTGGAAAAGACCCTGATGCTGGGAAAGACTGAAGGCAGGAGGAGAAGGGGGCGACAGAGGATGAGATGGTTGGATGGCATCACTGACTCAGTGGACATGATTTTGAGCACTCTGGGAGGTGATGAAGGACAGGAAAGCCTGGCATGCTGCAGCCCATGGGGTCGCAAAGAGTCGGACACAACTTAGTGACTGAACAACAACAGACCACCAACATGACAGCTAGGGCCTTTCTTTTCCATGTTTTTTTTCCCCTGCTTCACCAGACAGTCCTGTACATGGTATATATTCACCAAGTATTTGTTGAATGAATTTCCTCCCTTGTTTATAGACTGCATTTCTCCCTTTACTTCTAGATGGATTCCTCTCTAGGTGTGAGGACCTGGAATCAACTTTCCCAAAAAGAGAGTTTCAAAGAGCTTTTGTCCAGAACAGAGACCTGGACTTTATAGACTCCGGAGGAATCCCCGAGGGTGGCTGGAAGTTACCTAGCAAGGCCTATGCAGTAATTCTAAGTCAGATCTTAATAAATGTGCAAAGATCTAGAAAATTCACAGAGAGCTAGCACACAGAAGTGCTCAATAGAAGTGTCTGAATTAATGAATGAACGTTAGTGGTTCTCAAACTTCAATGCATATCAGAATTTTCTACAGAGCCTGTCAAAGAGAGACACCTTGATGCTGCTCTAGACTTACTGAACAAATTCTCTGGGGGTGGGCTCTGGAAATCTTTTTAAGATGTGCCACTTTAGAAACCAGGGAAATGGAACATCAGCTTAGGATAGTGGTTCTTTCACTGTTAGGTATGTATCAGATTCTCTCGTGGAGGTTTTATAAAATATATCTACCCAGGTCCCACCCCCAGCACAATGTCTGAAGGCTTTTGCCTTTGCCATAAGCAGGTGTCAACAACTGTATTAAATACATGAGTAGTGTTTTATCGCTATACCAAGGATTTCCCTCAATCCTTATTTGATCCCAGGTCTGGGTTATCAAACCTCAGCCCATCACACCGAATGTGTATCCTCTGGAGAACCCCACGTGTCCACCATTTACCCAGGGAAGCCATAGAGTTAAAGCAGGTCTTCCATGCCATCACTTACCGTAACTCCAAGATGCTGGTCACGTTTCGAGAGGGAAAGATGCGCCGGATATAATTGAAGTCACCAACAAAGAGGCTCCCGTCGACTCCAACAGCCAGGGCGACTGGGGCGAGCAGCTTGTTGCCTTCAGCAAGGCCGTTGCAGCTGGGACAGGAGATGCTCCGGCGGCGGCCGTTGCCCATGATGCTGGTGATGATGGCGGGCTGCTGTGTCAGGAACTGGTTCTCCCCAGTGCCTTTGTGCAGGATTCCTGGCAGGGTGGGGGGGGGCAGTAAATTGGAATGGTTACTGCAGCCCTCCGGGGTGGACATGTCTATCAACTTACTGAGGATGGGTGGAAGTGACAAAGGGAAGAGAAACAGTAGGAAACGTCAACTGTGGGGAGGTCCCCAATTTCCTCACAATGCTGAAAGCACTGCAACAGGATGGGTAAACCCCAAGACCACGGTCCAGGGTAAGAAAACATTTGCAGAGATAATTGAAGAAGACTTGTGAGGGATACTAAGATGGATGATCTGGGAAAACCAGCTCAACAGTGTTTGACATTTAAAAGGAGAAGGTGGAAAAACCTATGAGTATTTTGGGCAGTTGATGAAAAATAGATGCAAGAAGGGGATGGTGCTTTTGCTTAAATGTCAAGGCTGGAGAGAAGGTTCCAGAGGCAAGACTAGGTTGTATGCAGGAAAAGGAGATGTGCTCACAAACCACTTTTTTTTTTTTGATGTAGGCCATTTTTAAAGTCTACTGAATTTGTTATAACATTGCTTCTGTTTTATGTCTTTTTTTTTGGCACCAAGGCATGTTGGATCTTAGCTCCCTGACCAGGGAACTGAGTGTGCGTTGGAAGGTGAAGTCTTAACCATCGGATCACCAGGGAAGTCTCCCACATACCACTTTTAACGTTGAGGATGTGGTGTTTGTCCAGGGACCAGCCACCGAGGTTGGAAGGGTCCAGCTCAAATCCCTGAAGGAGGGCTGTCCTTTTCTCCCACAGGATGAGACTGGGGCAGGTCTCGTATTCAAAGCCAACTGAAACTGAAAGATACAAGGGGGTGGGGCAGAGGGGGAGATGAGAGAGTTTACTTGATTACTCCAGAGCCCTCCAGCAGGAATAAGAAACTTGTGCTCACGGTAATACAGATTCAGTTCAAAAAACTCACTCAAGGAGGCAGGCTGATTGCTTTTCTCCTTGTGATTCCATACAATATTAAATTCAAATTTCAAGCTGAACTCAACCTTGAAACTTTACACAGTAGTTGTCTGTGGGGATGGAAAGACCTTTCCAATGAACAGCCGGCTTTTCAAAAATGACCCCAGTGATGGAGAGGGGAGAGATGAATCATTTAAAAACTGAATACAACGCTCCTTTAGAGATGGACAGGAGACCGTTTCCCTCAGCCTGCTGCTCACGGCATGCGTTCACTATATTCTGCGTTATTTATTTCCACTCACTAGGAGAAAGACCTATGGAAGCTTTGTGGCTCATTTATAAGGAGATTCTGGAGGCAACAGCTTGTGTTAGTTAAGGCACTTTGTACATTCACTCAGGATTCCAGAGGGTTCCAAGTGAGGCAGGCACGGGGACACAGCCTGCCAATTATATGGCAATGCAGTAGGGAACAGAATCCAAAAACTATAAAAATCCTGCACTTGCCACATGGACAAATAGGAGAGAGGGGCGGGAGATGAAGGACTTGAGTCCCAATTCTGTTACAGCTCACACTTCCTCGTGGTTCCATTTTCCCCATGTGTAAAACAGAGCAAGTGAAGCTTCAATTGCTGAGAGATGTCGTGAGGATAGATGAGACAGAACGCTGAGATGCCATACATTTTTAATTGGAACGCTGCTTTAGAAATATGAGGCATTGTTATTATTGCTGTTCCTACTACATTAAATTCTTAACTACGTGTGTCACCTTTGGGGATTCTCCTCTGCCTCTTTTAAATCCTGAGATATAGGAGTGTCGAGATGAACGAAAGATACATTTTATCTTTGAAAAAAAAGCTCCATGTATTTCCTGGCTTGTCCTCTGAAAATTCTAAGAAACAATGACCAACTCAGTAGCAAAGAGAATTGCTAGTGCTTGGTCTGTGGCCTTGAAATATTATTTCTCATTAAAAGGAATCAGGGCTCCTTGAAGACATGGCTGGGGCAAGAAATGAACAACAGAAGGCCAGGCCATTTTTTCAGACCAGATAGGAAGGAAAGAAAATCTACTAGGGCAACGGCAAAAGAATTTGGGCATCAGCTTGAAGAGGCTTCTATTGACCAAAGATGAGACAATCTGACTATTAGGAAAGACAACTTCAATGGATATATTAAGAGGTATTTCATCCTGTGAGTTTATAATGGTATTTAAAAAAAGGATTTGCCACTGGTAGAGGATATTAGAGAGCCAACTTACAATGTTGAAAACTGGTAAACAAAGGGAAAGAATCAAGCATTTATCTTATTTAAACTGTACTTCAAATAACAAAGTAGCCAATGAAAAAGTATCTCTATAGAAAAGTATTCTAGCTAGTAAATAATAAAGAAGCAATGGCATTATTAGAATATCATTTTGCAACCCCTAATGACCTAATGAATCTAGGTAATGAGCATCAATGCTGCAGAAAGCATAAAAGAATAGACAAGCTGACATTAGTCACTTCCTGATAGAGGTAAATTTAACCAAGGAGGCAAAAGATCTATACACTGAAAACTCCAAGAAATTGATGAAAGAGACTGGAGAAGACACAAATAAATGGAGAGATACTCCATGCTCATGGTTTAGAAGAATTAATATTCTAAAATGTCCATGTAACCCAAACCAAAGTACAGATTCAGTGTAATCCCAATCAGTATTCCAGTGGTATTTTTCACAGAAATAGAACAAACATTCTTAAAATATGAATGGAACCACAAAACCCTGAACAGGCAAAGCAATCTTGAAAAGAAGAACAAAGCTGGAGGCACCACATGCCCAGATTTCAAACTATATTACAAAACTATATCAAAACAGCATGGTGTTGTCATAAAAACAGACACAAAAATCAGTGGAATAGAAATATAGAGTCCAGAAATAAACCTAAGCATACACAGTCAACTAATTTTGATGAAGGAGCCAAGAATATTTCAGTGGGCAAAGGACACTCTCTTCAATAAGTGGGCTGGGAAAGCTGGACAGTCACATGCAGAAAAAAAAAAAGAAACTGTACCACTCTATACTATTCATAAAAATTAACTCAAATGGATTAAAAGGCCCCAAACCCATAAAACTCCTAGAAGAAAACACAGGCAGTAAGCTCCTTAACATCAGTCATGGCAATGATTCTTTGAATTTGACAGCCAAAGGAAAGGCAACAATAGCAAAAAAGAGCAAGCAGGACTACATCAGACGAAAAAGCTTCTGCACAGCAAAGGAAACTATCCATAAAATGAAAAGAGAAAATATTTGTAAATCATATATCTGATAAGAGGTTAGTGTCCAAAGTATATAAAGAACTCGCACCTCTTGACAACCAAAAGCCAAAAAATCCAATTAAAAAAACAGGCAAAGGAACTTAATGGACATCTATCAGAAGACGTACATAAGGCCAACAGTACCTGAAAAGATTCTCAGTATCACTAACTTCCAGGGAACTGCAAATCAAACCCACAATGTGATATTACCTCACATCTGTCAGAATGGCTATCATCAAAAAGAATACAGATGACAAATGTTGGTGAGGATGTGGAGAAGAGGAACCCCTGTGCACGACTGGTAGCAATGTAAATGGTATAGCCATGGAGGTTTCTCAAAAAATTAAAATAGAACTACCAAGTGACCCAGCAATGCCACTTTTCGGTATACATTACATTGTAGCATTATTTACAATAACTAAGATACAGAAACAATTAAGGTGTCCATCAACAAATGGATGGATAAAGATGATGTGGTATACAATCAATGAAATATTATTCAGCCATGTAAAAGAATGAAATCTTGCCATTTGTGACAACAGAAATGAACCTTGGGGGCATTATGTTAAGTGAAATATGTGAGACAAAGAAAGGCATATACTGTATAATCTCACCTATATGTGGATCTAAAAATCTGTGTAAATAGGAATATTACTTGCTCTAAATGCCTTAATGCTTTATTGTGATAAATAGTACATTTCTTTTTGTGAGATCTAACTAATCTTTTTAAAGTGTTTATGGAGTAAAGATGATCATAAGCAGAATAAAAAATTAAAAACAAGCAAAAAGCCAAGATCATGGACAGGTAACAAATTGGTGTCTGCCAGAGGCAAGGGCTGAAAGGTGAACCAAACAGGTGAAGGAAATAAAAATATAGAAACTTTCAGTTAAAAAATAAATGAGTCATGGAGATGTGAGGTACAGCATGGTGACTATAGTTGGTGATACTGTATTGCATATTTGAAAGTTGTTGAGAGACTAGATCTTAAAAGTTCTCATCACCAGGAAAAATTTTGTATCTAAGTATGGCAACAGATGTTCACTAGACCTATTTCAGTCATCATTTTGCAATATATACAAATATTGAATCATTATGTTACATACTTCTTATATGTCAATTATATTTCAAAAAAGTTGGTATAGATAAAAAATCAAACCTGTACCTAGGAAACCTCCAGGTTTAGTTATCGATTTACAGGAGATACAGAACAGTGGAATATGTTAAACAGTCACAGGTGTGCAATTAGAAAACAAACCAGACTATGAGAAATACTACAGGCAAACAAAAGTTTCTTCAACAAATACATCATAAAACAAAAATGAGCTAGAAGTGAAAGGAAAAACCATAGTTTAAAATAACTGAAGAGAAATCAACCAATTGCACAAGGCAGATCTCATAGTACGCATAGGGAAATAGCTATAGTAATCACACAAAAGAACATGATAAATAAGTCAAAGCGACTAATATCAAAGACAGCAAAAAAAGAAAGAAGGAACAATGGTTAACAAAAAAGCTAGAAAACAGAGGCTAAAATGACAATGCTAAGTCCCTACCTGCCAATAACTTATTTAAATGTAAACATTACAGTCTTTAATCAGAAGACATGAAATGGCCATGTGAACAAATCAAACAAACAAGATTCAATGATATAACGCCTACTATAGGCTTAAGGCGGAGAAGGCAATGGCACCCCACTCCAGTACTCTTGCCTGGAAAATCCCATGGACGGAGGAGCCTGGTAGGCTGCAGTCCATGGGGTAGCGAAGAGTTGGACACGACTGAGCAACTTCACTTTCACTTTTCACTTTCATGCATTGGAGAAGGAAATGGCAACCCACTCCAGTGTTCTTGCCTGGAGAATCCCAGGGATGGCGGAGACTGGTGGGCTGCCGTCTATGGGGTCGCATAGAGTCGGACATGACTGAAGTGACTTAGCATAGCATAGCATAGGCTTAAGGACCCATATAGACTGAGAATGAAGGGATGGAAAAAGACATTTCAAGCTTTCAAGCAAGTGGTAAACCTCCCTACCCTACCTCAAGCAAGGGTAGCTATATTTATATCAGATGAAATAGATTTTAAACTAAAAATGTTCAAAAGAGACAAAGGTGATCATTATACAATTGTAAAGCAGTTAATACATTGAGGATATATAACAATTACAAATATTTATTCACCCAACATTGCAGCATCTAATCATATAAAGCACAACTAATAAAGCTAAAAGGAGAAATAATACAGTAAAGTTAGGGATTTAATATCCCACTCTCAAAAATGGATAGATCACCCAGACAGAAAATCATAAAGGGGACAGTTGATTTGAACAATACTATAGACCAAATGGACCTATCACACATAGAACATTCTATCCAACAATACCAGAATACACATTTCTTCTCAAGGGTACAAGGAACATTTTAGGTCACATGTTAGGCCACAAAACAAGTGTTAGCAAATTCAGGAAGATTAAAATCATACCAAGTATCTTCTCTAACCACAATGGCATGAACCTAGAAACCAACACCAAGAAAACTGGAAAATTAAAAAATACATGGAAAATTAAAAAACGCTCTCCTGAATAACCAACAGATC